AGCACATGGGCAGGGAGGTGAGTCAAGGGTGGGAGGAAGCTACAGTTAAAAAGAACCAAGATATAAAATAAACTTTTCCTCTGCTCAATGTCTGGAGTCATTATCTTGAGAAACTTGGAAGTGCAGGTTTATACACACATGGACTTTCCTTCACCTGTTTATCTCCTGCCTGAAACTTGTACTCTCTGGAACTTAAAATAAAAATTGACTGAAAACTTTTCTTAGAAAGCAGAAACTTTCAAATTGTAATAAACAGCAAGAAAAAAGAGACAGAAACCTGAGTTGCATTTAGGGATCACACTTTAACTGAGGAAAACCACATATCAGTGGGAGAATCTGGTAGTTAAAATCAAAAAGCATGGCTGTCTCTGAAGTCAGGCATGAAGTGTTTTTGGTTTCTTTTTTTTTTTTTTTTTTGAGCCGGAGTCTCGTTCTGTCACCAAGCTGGAGTGCAGTGGCTCGATCTTGGCTCACTGCAACCTCCGCCTCCTGGGTTCAAGCAATTCTCCTACCTCAGCCTTCTGAGTAGCTGGGACTACAGGTGCCTGCCACCATGCCTAGCTAATTTTTGTATTTTTAGTAGAGACAGGGTTTCACCATGTTGGCCAGGATGGGCTCAAACTCTTGACCTTGTGATACGCCCACCTCAGCCTCCCAAAGTGCTGGGATTACAGGCGTCAGTCACCGTGCCTGGCCAGGCGTTAAGTGTTTTAGGGCTATATTAAGCATGGTAAGGCACCAGCAAGGCTCATTCCCCAAATGCAAACCAAAGATGTTCTACAGAGTATCGGCTGCAAAATCGCCAAAGCCACTGTTTCCATTTTTCTTTCTTCAATTCTTAAAAAAAAAAAAATGCTGCTGCCTCCTCCAGAGCCTTGAGGAAAAAAAAAGACCAATAAAACAGGCGAGGTGGGTGTCAGATTGTCTAGAAAGAGCCGCCTGTTGACTGCCAAGTTGACTGACACTATTTACCAAGAGACAGGACTCATCAGGAACTTGCCTCCCCAACTGGAGTCTGATTCACTACCAGCTTTTCATCATGATTCAATCCATCCTATGTCGACTGCTTTCTCTGCCATGGCGACTCTTAAGAGGAAAATGCGTATAATACTTCTCATATGTCTAAAATCAAGATCTAGTATGACTACTCTTTAGTCTTACCTTATAGTTCACAGAGAACATAGCTCATTGTATGTATCTTACTATTAGAATTCTTTTATCATCATATTAAATACTCTATTTCAATGATTGTCGTCTAGCTACACTGTGAGATCCTTAAGCCAAGGAAATTGTCTCCCTCTTTCTGACACAAAGTGTAGGTGCTTACTTAATGTATAATAAATAAATAAAGACAATCTTCTGACAACTTCTTCCTGTGGTTGGCCATTATTCCATTTTGTAACTTTTCTGGAACTCCCAAAGTTCTTTTTTATGTCTAATCCTGATCCTCCAGCATTTTCATAGCAATTTTTTGAGCTTGTACACTATAGCTACTCCCAAATTACCTTTGATTATGTTAGCCAGAGTTAGTTTCTGATGTTTTTTGCCAAGGATGCTGACAGGCACATAGTAGCAAGGACCAAGTGGAATTAGAAAACTCAATTAATGACGTTGAACAAACAAAAAAATGAAGTGATCAGTATGGCTGAACAAAACATTTAACTGTAAGACATTTTAGTTAATAGAAAATGTCAACTAGTACTTCTCTGTCTCTTGACATCTGGGGAGAATTGACTGGAGCCCTTCAATTCTATAGCTTGTGGAAGTCTAAAGCCTTCTCTCAGATTTCTGAAATCTCCCTAGGTCATTTATAGTCTCCTGCCATCCTGTTCCTTTGAGTGTTCATTCTCACATGAGCATCTTCTCTTCCAAACCGTTTATCAAGACAGGAATGTCAGACATCTCAGCAATGTATGCATATACCCACACACGCACACACACATGCACATACATATCGAAATAAAATATTTATTATATAAGAAAACGCAGTGCAGTTTTATGACCTTGAGCAAGTTAGTTAATCTTCTGTGTCTTAGTTACCACGCATTGTAAAATAGTGATAATAATGATATGTACCTTGTAGGACTGTTTTAAAAATTAAATGGGATAATGTCAGCTATTAGCCCATGCTGAACTCACACATTCAACAAAAGAAACATTCAACACCAATTCACAGCTAAGCTAAAAAATTTTCATGAAGGACTGGGTCCTCAGAGAGGTCAGCAAACACACCACACTAAAGAAAAAACAAAAAGATACGCGATTGTACTCTGAAAGTCCCTTACAACTAAAGTTTTGCCCCTTTCCAAACAGAGCCCAGGTTCTCCTCCAAACTCCTCCCTTTTCCATTCGTTTTGTTTCTATCTTCAGAGCAAGTGAAAGGTTTCTTCTCCTGGCTAGAAACCCAGGTCTTTCAGTTCTCACCTTATGTATATACTTTTCCAAGTGGGGAAATCCCTTACCAGAGAAGAATTTCTGGCTAATGCTTTTAAAATGATAAAATTTACTCTAGCTAATTACACCTAGGACATGGGTTTCTAGATTTTAGTCATTTGCGTAATATCCTTGTGATTTTTTTAAACAATCTTCTATTAATCAATACAAAAAGGGATAATACTTTTACGTTTTTTTATTATTATTATTATTATTTTTTTTTTTGAGACAGAGTCTCACTCTGTCGCCAGGCACCAGGCTGGAGTGCAGTGGCACAATCTTGGCTCACTGCAACCTCCGCCTCCCGGGTTCAAGCAATTCTCCTGTCTCAGCCTCCCGAGTAGCTAGGACTACAGGCGCACGCCACCACGCCCAGCTAATTTTTGTATTTTTAGTAGAGACGGGGTTTCACCATGTTGGCCAGGATGGTCTCGATCTCTTGACCTCGTGATCCACCCGCCTCGGCCTCCCAAAGTGCTGGGATTACAGGCGTGAGCCACTGAGCCTGGCCACTTTTGCGTTTTAAATAAATTCATCATACAAGGATATATTTTTCACTATTGTAAGTGTCAAAATAGTATTTTTTTCATTTATTTATTTTATTGCATTTTAGGTTTTGGGGTACATGTCAAGAACATGCAAAATTGTTGCATAGGTACACACATGGCAGTGTGATTTGCGGCCTTCCTCCCTATCACCTACATCTGGCATTTCTCCCCATGCTATCTCTCCCCAGCTCCCCACCCACCACTGTCCCTCCCCTATTTCCCCCCAACTGACCCCAGTGTGTAGTGTTCCCCAACACTGGTCATCAAAATAGTATTAATCATCATAAGAAGGTAAACTCAAACATTTAATTTTAAAATAAAAATGTTGTTGGTATACCATCTAAATGTCTTAAGTATTCCTAACAATGCACACACCCTAAGTTGGTAAATGTGAGGCTACAAGCATCTTTTATTATGGACACTCAGAGGCTGTACTGAGAGGACATAAGTGGAAAGTCTGTGGAATTTGCCTGTTATTAATACTGTGGATAGAGAGGGGGAGTAGATGAGGAAGAACATATGTTGAAGAGATCTGGTTAGAAAACTGACAGAGAGGATGATCCAGAGACAAGATTCTGGGGCGTGATATCATCTTGTATCCTGCATTATTGTTCCACAGCACCCAGGAGGATGGCTAATGTCCATTTAATCAAATTGTGTTCTGCCGTTAGAATCTAATGCTGCTATAAACAAATGTTTAAAAGCTAGAAACATTAGGGATCATAATATCTGAATTATTCCCCCAAAAGTGTATTTTAACCAACTGATCCAGTTTGATACAGTGCTGAAATTTAAAACAATTTCATAATGTATCAACATGATATTCCTCACTCTGGTCTTTTAATTAACAAAAATAAAATTGAGATTCTCTGCATTTCACTCTGCTTTCTCTGGGCAAATAATTTCACAAACTTTTAGAGGAAAATTAAAGACCTGGCACCAGCCCAAATAACGTATGTTAAAGTTCTAAGACTCTGCACCAAGTCAGTACTTCTGGGAAATACCAACTTTATTTGAAATATATATAGTACAGCAATGACAAACTGATCAACATCACTTTATTAAATACCATGTGCCAGGGATTTTGCCAGGGATCATGAGATACATTCTACCCTCAAGGAATCCCCTGGTTGGGGTGATAGTACATCTTGGCGACTCAAGTCATGTTACACTAGAGTTTCTGTCAAGATATTTGACAGCTCCTTTTGCCATAGTTTTCTAATACATTAAACACAGAGGCACAAGGCCCTGATCTATACCTGAAATATACTTTTCTATAGGTCTCAAGTGAACGAAAAACAGTTTCTATGATTACAGCAACAATGCGTTTTTTAGGATGTAGTCCAGCTACTGATATCTATGGATATTTCTCAGCCTCAAATGCCAATTCATAACATTTAAGCCTTATTGAATACAGTTTTCTTTGTACTATTTGATTCTGCCAAACAAAGCAAGCCTTTTTGAAAAAAAAGAAAAAATCTTCCCTAGGAGTCAGAATATTATTTCATCTCCAAGGTTTGCAGAAAATTACAGGAAACAAATCAAAATGAGACAAAAACCATTTAGCTTTGTATAACTATACCATGCAACCATTATGTCACATAATATAATCATCTAGTTAAGAAAAGAAGTGGACAAACGAGAACCTGCTATAAAAAGCAATGTGAATTTGTCTCAAGTTTAGATGTACAGATAGACATTCTTAAGCTATTTTTACCCCCATTTAAACACATCTTCTTCCTATTACAGAGATGAATAATCTATTTTCAAACAGCATCTCCACAATGCAGACTTTTAGTATAGGAAACTGGAAACATTTGCAGCCATATTACATTTTTCACTTAAGCAAAAATGATAAAACACTAATAATCACACAGTACCATAGATACGATTGTATATGAAACATCAAAGAAAATCCACATCCACTAACTTTATAACTCTATAACAACAGATTTTTAGAGGCGTCATAGCAGAAATGTTCATAGTTTACAGCACAATATGTACAGAAAGGTAACATACCTCACATTAGCATCAAGTTTGTCCATTACAGGAAATAAGCATGAGTGAGCTGGATTTCAGTGCCCACAGGGTCCTACAATGTGGAATTAAAAAGATGTTAAAAATGAAAGTAACATTGAAAAACGCGTCTTTTTTTTTTTTTAAAAAAAAGGTCATTTCTTTTTCTTGCCTGATTGCTCTGGCTAGAACTTCTAATACTATATTGAGATACCATCTCACGCCAGTTAGAATGGCGATCATTAAAAAATCTGGAGACAACAGATGCTGGAGAGGATGTGGAGAAATAGGAACACTTTTACACTGTTGGTGGGAGTGTAAATTAGTTCAACCATTGTGGAAGACAGTGTGGAGATTCCTCAAGGACATAGAAATAGAAATTCCATTTGACCCAGCAATCCCATTGCTGGGTATATATCCAAAGGATTACAAATCATTCTACTATAAGGACACGTGCACACGAATGTTCATTGCAGCACTGTTTACTATAGCAAAGACCTGGAACCAACCCAAATGTCCATCGACGATAGACTGGATAGGGAAAATGTGGCACATATACACCATGGAATATTATGCAGCCATCAAAAACGATGAGTTAGGGTCCTTTGTAGGGACATGGATGAACCTGGAAACCATCATTCTCAGCAAACTGACAGGAGAGCAGAAGATCAAACACCGCATGTTCTCACTCATAGGCGGGTGTTGAACAATGAGAACACATGGACACAGGGAGGGGAGCACTACACACTGGGGTCAGTTGGGGGGAAATAGGGGAGGGAGGGTGGGGGGTGGGAAGCTGGGGAGAGATAGCAAGGGGAGAAATGCCAGATGTAGGTGATGGGGAGGAAGGCAGCAAATCACACTGCCATGTGTGTTCCTATACAACAATTTTGCATGTTCTTCACATGTACCCAAAACCTAAAATGCAATAAAATAAAGGGGAAAAAAAAAAAAAAGGTCAAATAATTATTGCTTCTTATGACTTGTTTTGTAGAAATATTTAATAAATAATACTATAGCAAAAAGCTTTTGGCATATTGAGGTATGGTATAGCCAGGTGTCACAAAAGGTTTACTTACATCCTACTGATTGCTTGTTGATTAAAACATGGGGATGTTTCTTTTTGCTCGACTTATTGTACTTTTTGTTTTTTCCCAGAAACATGGCTTTTTTATAATCTACATTAGGACAGTAACTAGTGAAAATAGGTAGGTACATTCATTATGATTAAAACAGTACTTTGCCTAAACTGGTCAATCATTTTGTTTCCTATGAGGATTAAAAAAAAGTAATAAATGTTTAAACCATTTTGAAGGTAGGAAATCACAGATTTCTTTGAGAATCTAGTAAACTCTTGAGAACGGTGTGCCCCCCCAAAAAAACAGATATGCATACACACATATGCACACTTTCGAGAGAGTCCATGCTTCCTTGAACTCAGGAATCCAGTAACTCCAGGCCTATCCAGGAACTCCAGGCTAAGAATTCCCAATTGAGGAGAGTTAACTTTCAAATTACCAAAGTTCCTCCGTCACAGATTCTCAGATGACCTTGTAGTTCATAACAGATGGGCAGTCACTGATCTCCACAAAATCAACCTTCTTAACTAAATATTCAGTTCCATTTTTGCAAATAATTTCTTTGTCTTCATCACATCTGTTCCACAGCATGATGAATCGATGAATGTAGGGGCAGGGCCAGACTATTTCTTCCAGGGTCACCAGAAGGAAGTCCTTTTCCTTTTGAGCATCATCATTCACTTCTCAGTAAAGAGAAGAGATTGGAAAAAAATAATCTCTGAGTTCACTCCTAGCTCTGATATTCTTTAGTTCTTTCTGCTAGTTTTCTAATTGAATCTTATCAAGAAGAAACAGGAAATCTGTTTATCTATATAACAGAACCATGAAACTCAGCCTGGGCCCCTAGATACCTTGGCCAGGGTGAGTTAAACAGATGTGGCTGGCAGCCAGGGAGAGAATGACCAATCACTAGATCTGGAAAGACCTCAACTCTCTGTGTTTTTCAATGTTTGTTTCTCAGAGCCTCTGACAATATGAGCTCTCATGGGCATTTCTGGGCCTGGGGCAGGCATGGGGAAGGCTCCACCTGCAGGACTCCGAGCCCCATTTCCTAATGTGAAGTAAAGAAGCTCTGTCCACATCTATCTGTTTTACATTTTGAATCTAGAATAATATTTTGTTGGAAATATACAAGTTCAAAGCCCTAACTATTGAAGTGATGGGGCTAAATCCTCTTTCCTCGTCTATCTAAATTTTTTTCTGAGATGATCACATCCATCTGGTGGCTGAAAATACAGTACAATTGCAATACTATTCACTGTAGACTCCCAAAATTTTATCCCTACATTGAGTCTTTCCTAGACATAGTCAGTGCCCATCCAGCATCTCAAGATGGATGATTAAGAAGCATTTCAAACTAAACTCTTCCTTTCTCATTTCCAGCACAAAAACCTGCTCTCCCCCAGTGTTCTCCATCTCGGTAAATAGCCCACCATTTACCCAGTGATTCAGACAAAAAAAACTTCTTCCCATACCCTAGGACCAAAACATCAGCAAACTTATTCTTTCTATTTTGAAAATGATTCCTGGCTGGGGAAAGTGGCTCACGCTATAATCCCAACAGTTTGGGAGGCCCAGGCGAGTGGATTGCTTGAGCCCAGGAGTTTGAGACCAGCCTGGGAAACACGGCAAAACCCCATCTCTACAAAAAATTAGCTGGGTCTGGTGACATAGGCCTGTAGTCTCAGACACCTGGGGGGCGGGCGTGTGAGGTAGGAGGATCTCCCGAGCCCAGGAGGTCAAGGCTGCTGTGAGCGATGATTATGCTACTGCACTCCAGCCTGGGTGACAAAGTGAGATCCTGTCTCAAGCAAAAAGAAAGAAAACAAAAAAGGAAAAGAAAGAACGAAAATTATTCCTCCACCTGACCCTTCTCATCACCTCTGGACCCAGCACCTGGGTCCAAGCCACCAATTTCTTTCTCTGAAATACTCACCCTCACCCCCAATTTGTCTCCTACCAGAATGATATTTTTAAAATGTAAGTCAGGTCATTTCTTGCTTGCATAAAATTCTCGTGGCTTCCTATCACACTTAGAATAGAATCCAAATTCCTTATCATTGCTAACCAGAGCTTTCATGATCTGGCCCCAGCTGTTCTCCAAACTCAACTGTAGCCATGCCCCTCCCCTTCCCTGCCCACCATTTCACTGGTTTTGCTACTTTTTGGGGCCATCACTGTTGACTCCCACCTCAGGGCCTTTTCACTTTGCCTCTTTTCCTTGGAATGTGACCATGTAGATTACTCCCTCACTTCCTTAGGGGTGCCGCTCAAATATCACTTCCTCAGACAGGTCTTCTCTCAACACCTAACTACAATTTCACACCCCATTTTCTAAAAATGTCTATCCTCTTTCTCTGTTCTATTTTTTCTTCCCAGTATATATATTATATATACATATAGTCAATTGCTTTTTTATTTGTTATCTGTCTTGCTTACTAGAACATACATTTCAAAAGGGCATAGGACACTGTCTTGATTATTGTGACATCCTCAGTGCCCTAGAAAAATGCCCAATATATTGTATCCTCATCATAGATATTTATTGAGTCAAGTAAGTAGTTCATTATTTTAGTGAATGAGGAAACTGAGACTTAGGAGTTTTTTATTTTCACACTGGGAGGTAATATATGGACCATCCCAGAATATAATGTTGTAATTTAAAGAATAGCAAAAGCATTATATCTTAATTAGTTACCCTTTACTAAGTGTTAATAAGTGCCAGACATTGCCCTTTTTCTCTTCCTCCAACCTCTGAGTCCAACCTCCATCCTATAGATGAAGAGAATGAGGATCAGAGAGGTTAATTGACTTGCCAAAGTCATACACAGCTAGCACTTGACTAATCTGGGGATAGAATTCAGGGCTGTGAATTCCAAAACTCCAGTTTTAGCTTACCTCATTTTTATCATCTTATTATACTTCCTTTCACTGAAACAAGAGAGTATTCTGATGAAAATGAACATTTACTATAATTTTCTGCTATCCATCCATCTATTTCATCTTTCCTTGAGAATAGTGTCTTGCTTTTCCTTACTGGAAACACCTGTTCCCCACTTCAATCCCTAGCTCCAGTGATGATCACATAAGCAGGACTGGTCAATCAGGATGGTCCATTCCTGGCAACAAGAATCCCTTAGGTTACTGGCTGGACCGGGGAAAGCCAAGCCTAGAATTTTTGCTAGAAAGAATCTTTCTTTCCCCTGGTGTTGTCAGAGAGTTTGAAGCTGATGGTGGCCATCATTTTCACCCTATGGGAGGAGCTTGTCTGAGAAGAAAACTAACCCAAAGGAAAGCAGAGGTACAACACAGGGAATGCCACTGTCCTGCCTATATAATTTGAGGCTTAAGATCCAGCAGTGTCTTAAGATAATTTTACACTTGAATGTCCTAAATACTAGAGCCAACAAATTCTTTTTTCCTCCTTAAGCCAGTTTGAGTTGTGTTCCAGTCAGCAAGCAAATGAATCCTGAGTAATATACAATAGAATCAATATTGTATTGTTTTGCAGACTAAAAGGAATAAAAGATGGATAGTTTCAGCTTTAAAAGCCATTAAAACCTAAAGTTCATATCATTAAAACTGCATATGAAAATGTTACAGCACAAGAAAAATCTTATATGTTCATAGCATATACATTATTAGATTTTGTGCACTGAAACCCAATGAGCAAATTTAAAATGATTGCCTTTTAACAAACCAGTGAGATAGCATGTATTTTGTCAGAGAGAAAGGAACAGAGAAAGGAGGAGTTGATGATTAGTACCTATCCTAATTTGATTAATTGATTATGCTCCACTATTTTTTGCAGGGCTCACTAGGGAGAACTAATCAGAGCCATGATTATAGGAACATCTCTTGCTGGGAAGATTGCATAGGGTGAGGGGGATGTGGAAGGAACCAGTGCTTTTACCTTGCATGCTTATATTTCTGGCTTCTTCACAAAACACTGCCTTACTAATTAAAAACACAATCAACCCAGAACATCTCCTATGTT